AGCTTACACAGAGAGGTCAGAAGCAGGAGGGGACAGAGCGTCTGGGGTTGAGACAAGGTGGGTAGACCTGAATGAACAACATTGTTCTCGCCAGCAGTCACTTGAGAAGAGAAACAGGGGAAGGGACTGTAAGAAGCACGAAAAGCAAGAGACCTAGTTCTCAATATAAAAACAAAAGCAGAGGGATTTTGTGAGACACCATCTCCCATGAAAAAAGCCTGGGAGGGTGTTCGTTGTCCTTGTGGCAGGTTTGCATCACGTTCTAAGCTTTCCCTCCATGCTGCCTTCCTTTCTTCCTCCTTCCCAAGTGCCTGGGTCTCACCTGGATTCCTGACCAGAAAGCAGCGAAGGTCGCTCTCCTGCGATTGGTCTCGCAGGAGTTTAAACCCGCAGTTGATACATGCATGCTATTTTGTATTAAGTGCTCAGGTAGGAAGGCCTGGTTACCAGAGGGGCTGGACGTGGCTCCAGGCCTGGGCGGCACTGGCCGGGCTCGGCCTGTCCCTGGGGCTCCCCCAGCCTCCCCCAGCCCCAGCCGGCCCCGCTGCCTGCCCGGCCATGCTGGATCAGGGCTGCCCCACACCTCCCCGGCCCAGCGTGGGCTCCTGGAGGAACCCGGCCATCGTCCTCAGGCCTCTGCGCGTCGTGGGTGGCGATGGCTGCAGGCTGGTGAGGCCCTGCCGGGCGGGCCATGCACCTGGCACGCGTGGCTCCCGCTCCCCGCTCCGCAGGGAAGAGCTGCCCCTCGCCGCTCCCTGAGGGTGCCGGGGGGAAGCAGCCCTGCCTCAGAAATCCAAAGCCTGAGGCCTTTCTGGCCACAGCTACAGGAAGGAAAGGAGAGTCAAGTTTGATCACACAGCAAGGGCTGGGTCCTGGCATGTGAGTGACTGCAGTGCATTTCATGTCGTTCCTCTTTAAATGTCTGTGGTAATTTAGTGGGTAGTCTTGCATATTCCTTTCTATACTAATTTTCTTGAATTTGTTCTTCTCCATCTACACTGGATTATGCTTTGTGTCTTTTCTGCTCCTATTCTCAAGCTTCCTTTCCCACAGCATCGTTTGAGCTTGGCCCCGTGGCCATTTCTCTTTCCCATGGCCCCAGCTCTGCCACTTGTCCTCAGGCTGCTGCTCCCTGCCTCTCTGGGAGTTGTTCTGTCTGACTCTCTGCTGCCTTTTCCCATGTACTCCTTTTTTTTTCCCCCTTTCACTTTGGTTCTTTTCACCTCCAGGTTGGCTCTGCCTTTTCCTTGCTCTTTTGTGGGCTGGTTGGTAACACTTTAAGCAAACTGGCAGCCTAACTGGTGTTGGCATCCCTGAAAAGGGAGATTGTAAGGAGTGATTTTAGGTGAAAAATTCAAGAGCTCTGTAGGTGCTTCAGAAACTTCTTCCAAAAAGGGGGGCATCAGAGGAGAAAGCAGAAGTCGTTTGTTTGTTAGCAGGGGCTGGTGTTAGAAATGTGACTGAGCAGAACGTAAAGTTGAGCTTTTAACAGTGAATGAGAAATGACAGGTAAAGAAAAACCTTGGAAGGCAAGCCAGTGAGATGGCATGGGTTGAAATAAAGAAGGAGAAGCTAAAGGACAGGCACAAGAAGGTAGTGTAGTGAGAATAACAAGCCATTTCATGATGGCAATGAGGAAGGCAGGACTGCAGTTGCTGAGACCAGAAAGAAATCTGATGCAGTAATGGAGGGCTGAGATGACAGCTGCAGGGAACAAGGGTTTTAGCTTGTGCCTGTGTTTGCAATTGTGGCTTTGTATCCACCTCACTGCTGTGAAGAGTGCTATTCAGTAGGACATCCCTGTCAGTCTCTTCCTCAGCAGCCCCAGTCTGGCTCATACGTTGTCTCCCTGCTGAGCTCATGCCCGTTCCTACAGAACGCCTGTTAGACCTTGCTGCTGCAAGGGAGATGATGCCAGCCCCTGTCTCTTGTTGGCAAAATAACCCACATCAGGTGGTTCTTCTAGCCCTTGGCTGTCTGCAGCCTGCTGGAGGTTCCTAATCCACTCATGATTTTCCACTTTATGGACCAGGCCAGCCTGCCTGGTGACACTGCAGTTTCTGGGGGTCTCCCTCCCTCCTGTCCATCTGCAGCAAGTTGTACAGGAACAAAAGGGCTGCAAGTTTGTGTAAAAAAGGGTCTTGCTTTGAAATGCATAAATTGCCCTGTTAGAAAAGCACACTCAGCCTGCTTGATTTTCCTGTTCTTTTTAACTCTAACTGTTCCTAGGGCTTTTCTATACGTCATCCCCTCCTCACCTGCTGTGTACCCATGTGCATATCACTATGTGTGCATTGGAGTTGTATTTTTAAAGGGATTAACAGGGTTTAAGTGCAGAATGGGGCTCAAGTGACTGAGAATGTTATCTGTTTCCAGAGATTTTCCCTACCTTCCACTGAACTACCCTGCTGGTACCTTTTTTTACTTCTTACTTCAAATGTATCAGAAACACAAATACGTATTGTTGTAATTTCGTTCTTTTAATCTGAAAAGCCCCACTTATCATCAAGCAGGGTGCAGAGGATCACCCCGTATGCTCAGCTGTGACCAAGGTCTGTCTTTGCAAAAAATTAGCTTGAGACACACCTTTGTAAGTTTATCACCAGGACACTTTAAATGCTTATCAGCCTGCTTAGTTAGTTTACCTGGAACAAATAATATGCCAATGTAACTGATATTAATTTGTTTCTGAACTACACGTGTGTGTGTGTGTGTGTATATGTACATGTGAATATAGCTCAGAAAAAACGTGTGCATACACACACACAAGTGTGTGTACATTTATGTCTGTAGTTGGGTAATAGGTGCCATACATGAAGACTGAACATTTTTCAACATTTCCAGTTATAGGACCTCTAATTGTTTACAAAAGTATCAAAATACTCTATTTCCAGATGGATTTTTAAAAATACACCTTTTAAAACTGCAGATTTTTCAATTGCAATGGTCAAATTCAGCAGTCCCAAGAGAAGGATTAAGGAATGCTATATTATAAAGGCAACACAGTCTGCTCCTTTCTTGCCTGTGCTAGGAAAGAACCTGCATGGCAGGAGGAGAACTTGAATCTAAGTGGGATGTGCTAGGTCATGGACTAATGTGACTATCATCAAAACACTGTCTAAATGTTTCCTAACTGAAGGAGGTTCTATATCAGCCCTTGTTTTGGTCAGGGGAAAAGGAACTCATTACAAAACCAAACTTGGTGGTTGGATAAGTGTGAGTGGTTGTAGTGTAGCTACACATGGCATGAATATTTAAAGTCCAGACTGCTAAACAGATGTATGGGATGGTTACAGAAGGTCCAGTATCACAAAATGGAAAGCAAGCATGAGACAACAAAGATAAAGCAATTTAACAGAAAAAAACTTTCCGATAACTGAGGCATATGACAATTATGTGAGTGCCCTGGAAAAGTACAATCTCATCATTGAGACAGAGAGCTTTTCTGGGTCAAATGATTTAGCCTGATATACAGGGGATGTACAAGTAGATTGTCAGCCACTCCTCCATAGCCAGTGTAGCATATAGAAAAGAAATGTTGAAAGTAATTAAAAGCAGAAAATTTTAATACATTTCTTGAAGGAAGCAGAAGGATGGAAAGATCATTTTATAGTCAGCAAACCTGAGAACAAAGATATGAACAGTGTGATACAAGTTTTTTTGCTCTTCTTGTAAGGAGTGTGTATATTAGAAAGAAAAGAATGGTAACTGGATTCGTAGAGAGACATGGTAGAATTATCAGTAGGGCAAGAATGTTAGAACTCAATAAATACCTCTAATTTTATGAGAGCTTCAGGCTTTTTTCCCATCTTGCATGCACATGAGATGATTGGCATTGCTTTCTCCAATAATCTCTTCCCTGTTTGCTACCACTCTTGGATTGAGCAATTGCTCTCGTTGCTCTCACATTGTAACTTTGGATTATGTTAAAGAAAATGGATTTCACCAAACTAACTTACTATTTTTGCTTTGGCTTGGATGATTAAGGTAATAATATTGATATAGTGGATTTAGAATTGTATAAAACATTTTAGTTGCTACTGCAACCTATTTTGACTAAGAAGCTAGAAAGCCACCAAATCAGCTGGACACACATTGAAGGAATTAAACACTAGCTAACTGGCAGACATAAAAAATCTCATTGCCTTATAGAAATCCTTCTGAAAGGGTTCTGCAAGAAACGGTTCTATGATGATCATTCCTCTTACTGCCTGGTTTAATTTTTAGTAGTGTCCAGGAAAGAGTAATTAGAGGATTTCTGATTTAATCTGCAAAATCCAGTAAACCATGCAGAGCTGAAAATATCAAGCCACAGCTATGTATGGTTGATCTAAATTGTGTTATCTGAAGAACAAACAAAAAGTCACAGAAAAGCTGTTATCTAAAAAATTTTATGCTTCATTAAAAACAGAAATTAACACAAAACAAATGCACAAAATGTGCAACAAGAACAAAGCAGATTAATGCCTTGTACTTAGTATTTTCTCGTTTTTGGGGTTATGTTAGTTCCAAAGAAACATGTAGATCTTTGACTCATTGCTGTGTTACTTTTCTCTAGAAGATATTTCTGCCTTTTTTTGGAGTCCTATGATACTGTGTTTTCATGTTGCCCTTGGGAGCCCATTCTGCTGCCCTTCGGTTACAGCAGGACTAGACTTTATTAGGAAGTTGTTGTGTTAATAGGCTCACCAGACCTTGACTAAGGAATGCCTTGTAGTTACTCAGTCACCTTAAATCACACTTAACTCAAGGTAGGTTGAGGTAAAATGCAAACAGAAATATTAATTGGTTACCTCTAAAATAGATAACACAATTACAAACATTTGGAAAAGAAGTAAGTGAAGAAATAGAAGAAAAAATTCCTCTGATCTGCTGACACTGGATGTATCACAAAGGTGTTTTTTGTTTTGGATTTTTTTCCCTGCTTTTTTATTTCCAGGTGACCTGTCCCTCTTCTGACAAAATGCCCCTCAGAATTTCTTTTCCTCCTATTCTTCAGATTGCTCTTAGGTGATTTTCATCGTTGGAGACCTTGCATTACACAGAACTCCATATAGGTATCTCCAGTCAGAAAACATCTTCAGAAGAAGCCTTCAGACTTCACCACCAGGTAGCTTCCCAAATCCTCATGTTGACCTCATTTCCTGATGGGCAGTTTTAGTTCTTAGAGCCAGTCTGCAACCCTTTATTATCTAAGGGCTCCAGACATTTAACCTCTCATCTCAGAGCTTGTTCTGTCCCTCCTTAGGGTCTGATGACTCTTCCAAATTAAATTAAGGATTCTTTTTCTTCCACACATATGCAAATGTATTAGAAAAGGAGTTTGACTTGCTCATAAAGAACTTCTTCCCCTCAAGGAGGCAAATCTCATTTCCCTCTGGTGCCTCATTGGCATGTTTCAACATGAAATGCAGACCTTATATTCTGTACCAGTAATTTAATTAACAAATATATATACATGATACAAGTATCTAAATAGGGTAAATTAAGTTAAAGGCCAAAGATGAACTTTTATTTTTTCTTGTAGCCTTTACAATGTTCTTATGCAGCCAAGAAAATGCAAAAATATTGGCTAAATGCCATAGTCTGTAAAAATAATTTATTCATTTGAATGAGTATTGCAACAGCTTAATGCAAACACAGGTGAACAAGCTAATATATGTGACTACAGATTTGTCCATGAGTTTTACAGGTTAGACGTAGTGAACAATCATCCCTCTCTAATTCTCAGGTCATGCCTATGCTAATTTAGTAATTAATAATTTTGTTAACTATACAAGTTTGGAGATACTCTGGTACAGATGTGTGATACTGTAATCACCCATCAGCCCTGAAAGTCAGCAGCCCTGTGTGCAAGTACATTTTCAGCAGTTTAACTAGTGCTGCCTCTGCTGCTGTCACAGAACACACAGGAAACCAGTTTCCATTATAGCAGCTGGGGATTATGTACATCCACCACAAATAACTTCCAGACTGGTCTTGTACCTTCATCAAAACAACAGAAAACAAAAAGTTGCATCCTCAAGAAATCCAAGCAAGGATGTTTTTCAGGTTCAGTGTGAAAAATTGAAAAGCAGAAAAATGAAGACAATGTTGATATTTATGGGACAGAAATAGAATGTCTTGTTTGCCGGTAGTGATGGTTTTGCAGCATACGAACCTGGAATATCTCCTTTTCTTTTGTTCCTCTGCTGTGTCCAGTGCTTCCTGCCATAGTGAACCATTCTGGGGCTCTTACGCTGCAGCAGCAGCAACAGCAGCAAATACATATTCACTGCAGTGTCGTTGGGAGAGAGAGAATGGGAGAATCCATCTCTTATTAGCAGTTAGGATTCTCTGCTGGAATGCAGGAGAGTTTCTCCTGCAGTCAATATTGATTAATTTGTACAAGGTGGAAAGATTCAGGGCAAGAGATGGGAAGAATTTCATCCTGAAGCTTGCTGATAGGCCTGTTACAGGTTACAGAAAACATGGTACTCCCAGACTCCAGCTAGTGGCATTATTAAAAATATATACGTCTCTGTAATCCTAAACGAGGTTATTGTTACACAACACGAAGGGATAGAGATTTTGCTTGGCAGGAGCACCACCTCTGAATGAAGAGAAGGGAAGAGTATTTGCTCATACAATGTTCACTGTTCTGAGAAAGAGAGAAATTTTGTAATACTTTGAAATGGTCATATTATTTCTCTGTTTGGTTTAACAGTATAATTGTGGTGAGTCTTTCATATAGAAGAGTTTTTACTTATTGGCAAAGTCTGTTTTTATAGGGCCTGAAAGGTCTTTTAGCTATTGTTAATGCGTTAAGAGAATACCATGTTACCTTTTTTATATCAGTCACACAAAATCTAACTTGTGTTGTCTTTCTTGTAGACAGAAAGGCAGAGGTCCACTTTAGAGGTCACATCATCCTTCTTCCTGTGAAAATAATATGAACCAGAAAGTGTTAGTTTTCCTTCTGCCAAATTTTATTTTTGGGATATTTCTTTTTGGGTTGTTCTGTAAAAGACAGAAAAACCTAACAGGTGAGTAAAGAATTTATCTACAGAAAAACTTAATGCTTTTTAGAACCAGGGACACCTTTCCTAAATGTGTTAGTAAGTAACTATGGAGCCTAAGTGATAAACAATACTATGAAAATATCCAAGACCCCGTCACTGCCATAGCTGTCTTAGCAATGTATGAGAGGAAGAGTGCTTCAAAAAACAGTTGACATTAGAAGTGTTAAAACATCAATCATGCCTAAAGCTCACATGTTAAACATTTCCAATTTCACAAATGTTTCCCTAAGCAGGATAATTTTTTGCATGTTTGCCATGAGGGAGTCCAGTGCCAGTAAACAAAGAATTGATTTTAGCATTTTCACTATTTTTCATATGAAGGGAGATAAACTGGGTGGCAGGAAAAAAAATAAATAGAGAGACTTATATAAGTTTATTTCACACCTTGGTTGCAGGTATGTTTCTTAATCCCACTGAAGACTGGCTGGCAGTTCAAAATGATCGCAAAAGCACACTGGCTTCTTTCTGCCAGAAGAACAACCTTCTGAAATTAAGAAGCAAATTGGATTCTCGTGTTGCAAACCAGCTCTTTGTGGAGCACAAACATAAGTTTATCTACTGTGAGGTGCCCAAGGTAGGCTGCTCCAACTGGAAGAGAACTATTTTTCTTCTTCAAGCAGACTTGAATGCAGAAGCTTCTGAAATTGAGCATGACCACATCCACCAAACCTCACTGATCAAAAAGCTGGTGAGTTACCCTCCTGCCATGCAAAAGGAATTTCTGAACAATTACACCAAAGTGATGTTCACCAGACATCCCTTGGAACGGCTGGTTTCAGCTTACAGAGACAAACTTCTGCACTCTGAGCCATTCTACAGTATCACTGTCGCTAACAGGATCAGGGCAATGTTCAGGAGAAACAAAAATTCTTCTGAAAAAGTGAGTTTCCAGGAGTTTGTCAACTTCATTATAGCAAAGCCACCAAATTCTCTTGACATTCACTGGAGACCGATGTTTCTGCTCTGTGATCCTTGCAACATTCACTATGATATTCTGGGTAAGTACGAAACTCTTGTGTTAGATTCTGAGCATGTCCTGAAGGTCATTGGAGCACCAGAGAGCCTGCACTTCCCCAGCTTGAAGAGGTATGGCTCAGAGAAACGAACTAATGGTGATATCACCTTGGAGTATCTCAGGCAATTGAACTCCAAGCAAATTGAGAAGATAATAAAACTGTATCAAATGGATTTTTTCTTGTTCAACTACACTATGAAATACGAGGAATATTTTTCCCTGAACAACTAACTAATGGAGGTTAAAGAAAGAACAGTTTCCTTTGTACAAAATAGCCTGAACTTGTCCTCACAGGTGTTTGATAGGTGGGTTGGTGACTGACTGCTGCTAAGGTTTTACTGGTGTTTGGAGACACTGTTTATCATCCTAAGCACTCTTAGAACAAATCCCTGCCTTGAGCTGTTGTACTGTGCAGTACTTTGCCTATATGAAATTATTGTCTACCTGCTGATCATGAATGGCATATGTTTATTTCATGAAGACTGTTTTATAAATGGTGGATTTTTGTCTGTTGGTATGAAATAAGAGAAGGATGAAGAATGTTTTTCACAACTGGTATTTTTTTAGAACATAATTTAGAAATTATTTACATTTTTTATTAGAAAAAGACAAAGCAATAAATATTCTGCTTTAGAGTCAAGCTACACTGTTTACAAGACTCACGAATCCTGTAGGAAAGGAGCAAATAACTTCAGATGCTTGAAGCTGCAGTACACAGAGCTTACTGTCTGATTTATATTCCTCTCTGGCAGTGCTCTCACCACAGCCTACCAGCTCATCACTCAGCAATCCAGCCAGGCTTTCCCTTATATCTCTTAAAAAACTTCTGATGAGCAGGTCCGGCATTCATGGGAACTTTCCAAACTCTTTTCACCACCTTTGTGAGCATTATGGTCTAATTTAAGAGGGAAGGTTTGAAAAATTTATCTTTTTTTTTAGAGAAGTAGTTAGAGATACCTTCTGTTCTGTACAACTGGGGTGGTGCAGGATCTAAAATCTCGGTGGAAAGGTGACTCTTACATATTCCCCAAAAACACTTGATATCCAGTCAACTGACTGGCCAGTCAGCACATCAGGGACAATGTTTGGGCTTCCCCCATTCTTGCCTATTGGAGCCCATGAGACCTTGGGACTTTCCTCACCATAACACTTAGGTGGAGCTGGGTAACGTCAGGTGTTACCTTTGTTCTACCTGTTGCTTTCTCACCACATAGGCAATGGAGTGTAAATAATTTGTAGAATTATGGTGAGGACAGCAACAAAGCATATGGGAGAAGCAACTCAATTATCCACTTACATTCCAAGATGTCTTTGGTTTTAGACACCTGAGGGATCTATATCTGCTACCATATTAAGTACAAGACTTGCCCCTTTTTTTAAAATCTATTGCCTAGTCACATTGAAAATTAATTTGTGACTATACTAATTGCAGCAAGTTTTAGAAACTAATTGGGGGTATTAGCACTGCCCTTAGGGGATGTCAGACTCTCAGAAGCTAATTTGAAAATCTCTCAAATTAACTTAGTTCCTATCAGCTGAATCTGCAAATGTACAAAGGCTGGCAGGATAGTCTTGAGTCCAAAGTTGGCTCACAGGCTCACAGCTTCTCAGTACATAGAAAAGGACAAGATCTGACTGCAGCCATCCATCTCTATAGCAATTTTTGCAGCAGCATGGCCAAGGTAAAGGGAAGACTGGGAACAGTGAATGCAATGAGATTTGGGTCATGAGGATTGTGAGAAGAGATCCCAGTGCAGGGAGTGGGATGCAGGGGTGGTATACCCCAGAGGAGAAATGCAGAGATATATTGGACATCAGCTGGAGACACTGATGAGACCATGGTGACAGAAGGAGGCAGAGGAAGAAGCTCTCAGCAACCCTCCATGACAGCAGATGGTGCACAAAGCCAGGACTACTGTTCAGTACATCTGGCAGCTCTTGAATAGCTGACTGTTCCATAAATGGGGTAGCTTTGGCACAAAGAGAGATCCAAAGTGAGACGACCAAGCAAGAACAGCAAAACATTTTTTTTTAAAAAAGAGCTTGTGATTGTGTGCAGACTGATTCATGGTTCTGGATCTTATCCCCACCACCACCATATTTGGTGTCCCCACAGTCCTGCTGTCCCCTGACACAGAATTGCTCATGCTGCCCTGGCAACCCAATAGTTCACACTGTTTAATTTTTTTTACTTTTTAATTGTTCTGAGACAGAGTAAGCTGGAAATAACTCCCATCAAAGTTAAGGCTGAGCAAAATGATGCAGTTTCTCTCTCTCTTTCCTGAATCAAAGCCATCTCCAGCTATGTGCTTCTCCTACTGCCAGATCATGCAGAGGAAAAGGGAATATTGTTTTCTTCATAACTTACATTGATAGAACACTCCAGAGCTATAAGCTTCAGCAAAGATAGTTTAATTTTCTGGCACCATCAGCCAGCCCAGAAAAACTCTGAAGAAATGATACTGATGGAGTTTGATACGTTTTTGCCATCAGCTCTGTAGTGTTAACACTCCTCTCAGTTTCCTTCTGTTCAATGTGAGTGGCTTCTGGGTTTTTTTATCTCTTTCACACAGGACCACATATTCTTCAGTGAAAGAAAATGGGTGGCTAATTTATTCCTCACAAGCACTAGCCAGTAGCAGAAGGCTTCCTGTTGATGCAGAAACATCTCTGTAAATACTCACAATGGACTTCCAGATTTTATATTTGCCTATAGAAAACTGTAAGTAGCTCATTGCCCAGAACCACTGGCTGCTGTAATGCTGTTCAGCTGGTGTGAGTCTCAACAAAAAAACCTGCTGAGGACATGTGTGTGTATGTGTGCACATATAACAGTTTTAGGAAGCAGTGTTATACAAAACCTGTGTAAGTTGTGTGTGTAAGTTGTGCGTTACCGACGCTAACAAAACGATAATAGGTTGGTACCTCTTGGAAAATAAAAAAGTAGACATGACTTATAAAGGATGTTGTAACATTCCCTTGCAAGTGTCTTTTAATACTCAACCCAATTTTTTGCATTTCCATTTCTGTGAGCTTGAGAATACTTCCTAACACACTTCATCCCACCCAAGATCTGCTGTGTGCTGGCACAGAAGTACACGAGACCTCTGCAATATCTATCAGAGTTAATGAAAACAATGGCAACTTACTATATGTTGTAAAAAGCTTTCACAGCTTGTGAAGATGGGCATAGAAGTTGCTCTGATTTTGGCTGCAATAGTTAATTTTCTTCCTAATAGCTGGTATAGTGCTGTTTTGGATTTAGTGTAAGAACCATGTTGATATCACACTGATGTTTTAGTTGTTACTAAGTAGTGCTGACAGCAGTTGGCCCTGGACCCTTTTCCCAAGTCAGCTCTGCCATGAGAGACTTTCAGACACTTCCAGCAGTGACCACTAAAATCAGGTTTTGTATATAATTGTATATTGTTCATTATTATCCCATGTATTACTATCCCCTCCCTGTTCCACTAAACCTGTCTAGTTTAAACTTCCAACCTTGAAGTGTCTTTTGTTATTCCCCTTTTATCTTCTTCTGGGTTGGTGGAGGGGGAGTTAGAGGCAATTCTATTCTCTGGGTTCTGCTTTGTCCTGACCACTAAAAGGAGACAAAAGGGCTTACTGTTACTTCAGTAATGTAATAAAATTTGCTGAAGGCTCTGGACTTTGTCCTAGACGGCCCACAAGAACTGCAAGACACCTGTAAACCTGCTTTTGATGGCCTTGGAGAGAGATTTCCTGTACTGTGTTCCCTACAAGTGTACTGTCCAGAACAAAGGCTCTACGCTGAGCTGGCCTCCCTCCTGCCTCTGCCTGGAGAAGAACCCCCCTGTGGAGCCTTATTTCTTTGGGTGCTGACTCTGGGTGATGTTTTCCTGGGAGGAAGGTGGGTGCCTGTACTTGGGAGCAGGGGTGGAGGTCTTGGGGCTTGGGCCCCAGAGTGGATTCAAAGGGATAGAAAATGCCATAATTCATCTTCTGATTTATTGTTATATGCCTGTGATATGACCATTGCTATGTTTCACTCGTAATTGCCATAATAAACTATAGTGAGTTAACACATTATTTTGTTCATCCTTCTCAATAACACCTGTTTTAAAAAAAAAGACTCAGAGCTGTTCCATCAAATCATAACATGGACCACATGTTACTAGGACAGTGATAAATACAAAGCCACTTGGCTGTGCTTTGGTACATTAATATAAAGCTGCCTCACAGGACTTCTAAAGAATTAACAAATACTACTGTTTCAGTTTGGAGAAAAGATGGAGCTAAGCAAGGAGAAGAAGAGAAACAAAAAATCTTGCAAAGTTGAGCTTGAAGCTTTCTTGCAAATCTATCAGCAGTGAGGAAATAAGAGGGTTTTCCCATCCTCATGGCTATCCTCACACACACCCTTTCAAGACAGGTATGCACAAACCTGACATGATCTTTGTGATCTGATCTTGGTGAAAGTATAGCAGATCTGATAGCTCATCAGTGTATGTCAGCAATGGAGACTATGTCACCAGCTGTTCCTTGAAGTAGATACTTCCTCCACTTTAAAGTGATGATTCTGCCCATAAGCAGTCCCAATTTTTCAGTTTTGTATATGACTCTTAACAGTTACACTGTGATTAGTGGTTTCTTGTTCAGAGAACTTCCCAGAGCAGGAGAGCTATGAACAGAATAAAAATTGTCCACAGAAGAACATGAACAATGAAACTTCAGAGAATTTGCTGCTCCATAAAGTGTCCTCTGACCGAGGGGAAGAAGAGGAAGCCCTATCTGTGCAAGTCATTGCATATCAAACAAACTGCAGCTCTCACAGCTAGAAGGTGTTCCTATTTCTGCATTCAGACTGTTAAGGAATCAAAAGCTTTTAGCCCTACAATCTCCAATTTTCTTGGTTTGTCTGTTTGTCCTGGTTTGAGCCAAGATAAAGCCAATTTTCCTTTTACTAATAGAGGCAGAACAAGAAAAAGAAAATAAAAATGAAACAGGACAAGAAAAAGACTAATGGTGTATGATTGTGGTGTAGGTCTTGTATGATTTCTATCCTGGCACTTACAGAGTACCACTTACATGACACTTATTTTCTCCCTTCCTTCAAAAATTACATGCTGGGTCATGCTTGAACATAATAATAATAATAATAATAATAATAATAATAATAATAATAATAATAATAATAATAATAATAATAATAATAATAAAAACCAACTAAATTTTATAACTTACATAAATTAATGTAAACCAAATACAATCAAAACAGACAGAGAATTTACTTGATTGAAGTGTCTGAAAATTCAGGAAGTCCTCTTGGAAGTTTTCACCAGGTATGGAATGTAGGCAGGTGTGCAGTTACAATGCTGCTTCCAGTAAGAACTATTTTTAAAGGAGCTGAAGTGATCATAAATCTCAGACCATATATTGAGACTAAAAATCCAGTGAATCAGCAGGTAAA